GGTTAAAATGCAGTATTTCAGAAAGAAAAGGGGCTGGAAAAATTAGGAAAAATATGCTAAGGGACAGCTGTCCATTTTCAGTTACAACAGGTGCCCTTATCTCCTAAAATTCAGCTGACATTCCCTATTCCCTCCCTTTTCCCTTCACATAGGACCCCTTCTACATTCTATAAAAGAAGATGATTCTCTCTTCATTTTGGATACGAATTTTACACTCATCTTCTGGACAGAATTTGAAGCTTTTCTTTTCATCTGATACTGATTTCTTCTGAGGAAAGACACTCTCAAAAGTTTCGATTTGAAAAATACAAAAAAAGAAAGAAGCAAAAAGAGAGAGGAGAAAAGCTGTTTGGAATTTCAGCATACTTATATGGTAGTTTTCTGGGGTTGTCAAAAGATTTTCAAGCTTTAGAGATGCTGTTTGCTGACTCGATCCTGTTGATTTTCCCTGTTGTTGTTGAATTTGGGAATCCTAGACCTTGTTTGGTTAACTCATGCTTAGTTACTGCTTTTAGGTATGTTAATTCTCACTTATGATTCTCTTCGAGATTGTAAATGAAGATTTGAATGTTTGTTTCCATAGTTATACTCAACTTTATGCCTTATCCTTGTGTTACATTATCATATCTGCTCTATCTTTGTCTTTCTTTTAATGACTAGTTCTGTTCACTTGTTTCTCTGATAAAATCAGTACAAAATCATTCATGAACTAGTTTATGTGCTATTGATAATCATCTGTCTTAATGGGATCTATTAATTGTTCCATGTTTCAAAAATGTATGAAAATGGTGAAGTAGATCGAAATTTGATTCCTACTAAGGTTAATCTATGTGTTGTTTTTAGTTAAAATGGTAGTTGTGTTATTTGGCCATTTCAAGCTTAAAACCACTCATTTTCAAAATTTGAGATTGTTTCCTATAGACAGATAAAGGGGCAGGAGGCTACTGAAGGTAGTAGGAAGATTTCTTATGACGTTTGTGTAACGACCCGGCCGATTATTTTAAGAATTTAAGTCCCGTTCGGTGGTATAAGGTCTTGAGCAGCTTCGTATTATGTGTATTGATTTGTGTGCGTGATCGAGTTGAGTTACCGGATGATTCAGAGTCAAATCGGAAGAAGGATTCAAGTTTTAGAAGCTTAAGCGGTAAGAGTTGACCGAAATTTGACTTTGTAAAAACGGATCCAGAATGGGTTTTGGATGATTTCAACAGCTTCGTATGGTGATTTTGGACTTAGGCGTGCATCTAGATTTGAATTTGGAGGTCCGTAGGGTGATTTGAAGTATTTCGGTGAAAGTTGGAAAAGTTGAAGTTTCGAAGGTGGAAAGGTTTGACCAATAGTAGACTTTGGTGATATCGGGGTCGGAATGCAATACCGAGAGTTGGAACAGCTCCGTTATGTCATTTGGGACTTGCCTGCAAAATTTGACGTCATTCCAGGCTAGTTTGATTGGTTTCGGCACGAGTTTTCAAAGTTGGATGTTTTGGAAGTTCATAAGTTTGATTCGTGTTGCGATTTGTATTTTCGGCATTCTTTGATGTGATTTGAGGCCTCGAGCGAGTTCGTGTTAGGTTGTAGAACTTGTTTGTGGGTTTAGACGGGGTCCCGGGGGCCTCAGGTGTGTTCCGGGTCCTTTTCCCCTATTTTTGAACGGATGTTCCTGTTTTCTGGTGTCCTTCTTCGCGATCGCGAAGCGCTTTTCGCTTACGCTAAGTGTTACTGCTGACCACCTCAAGATCCTTCTTCACGTTCGCGTTCGCGAAGGTTTGGTTTTCCCCTTCATCGTGTTCACGATTAGCCACCCGAGTTCGCGAAGCTCTTCCCGGCAGCCTCATATTTCTTCTTCGTGTTCGCGTTTGCCGTTTCGCATTCATGTAGGTTCCGTTCCTTGTTCTTCGCGTTCGAGGATTAGGTCATTTTTCATCATATTTTGACTTGTAAAGCTCGGTTTTGAGCGATTCTTTGTCGGATTTTCAAGCAAATCGATTGGGTAAGTGTTCTTCACCTAGAATCTAATATATTCCATGATTTTATGAAGAAAGTTTTCAAAATGAAAAATCATGATATAAGGGACGAATTGGTATCGGAATTTGAAAATTTTAGTATGGTTGAACTCGTATCGGAATGTGTGTTCGGGTTTTGT